CCTCAGTGCAGTTCTAAATGTAACCATCGTTCTGCACTCCTTGCTTGCAAGTAAAACTTTTAAAACTTTGAGATCTCGTATTTGATTCTTTATTTGATCAGATCTTTATTTGATTTTTATTTGAATTCTTAGGAAACTGGGATATGAACTAACAGCATATTTTACAGTCCTATCTAACAGAGAAAGTTTCCTGACATGGGACAAATATGTTCCTGTGTATATGTTTGTGTTGGTGTCAGTGTAATTGAAAGAGGAATGCTGATGGGATATGAAGCATTACCAGGTGCATGCTGTTAGATGAATAGTGAAATAAGATGAACTTCACCGCACATCTGTTCAGGTTCCTGTCTTTGCTGTTCTACTCTATGCACTTGGCTTGTGAAACCCGCTCTGAAAAAAAATTCAAATTCTTTGACATTTTTAAACTTAAACAAAAAAGTAACGTAACTAGTTACTTTTATAGTGGAGTAACTCAATTACTAACTCGGTTACTTTTTGGGAGAAGCAATTAGTAACAATAACGAATTACTTTTTCAAAGTAACGTACCCAACACTGTTTAAATGTGGTAGACCAATGGAGGAAAGAGGCTCTTGCCTCTTGTGGCCAATCATATTACCATGGTTGTGCCTGCAGTCACCACTATGTGGCGCTGCTGCTCCATGATTCAGCGGTGTTGGAGGTCATGTTTATGAACGTTTTGTGCGCGGGAGCAGAAGAGGGGCAAGCGGGGCGGGCTACTGGCTAAGCTAAAGGCTAACGCCGGGAGACCACCGATCCCGTCTATGTTGCTGTTCAATGTCCGTTCACTGGACAACAAAATGGATCTGCTCCGACTGAGGCTGGAGGTTTATCGTGAGATGAGGAACTGTGCAGTGCTTTGTCTAACGGAAACCTGGCTAAAAGACAACATGCCCGATCCAGCTTTCCACATCGATGGCCGGCTTCTGTTCCGAGCGGACCGGAACCAGCAGTCGGGGAAAACCCTTGGAGGCGGACTATGCGTCTATATCAACAAAGGTTGGTGTACAAACTGCACTCTTGTAAACAGTCATTGCTCGGAGGCGATAGAGCATATGACTGTTAAATGCCGACCACATTATCTCCCACGCGAGTTTACGGCAGTGTTTATTGTCCTTGTTTACTAGTGATGTGCGGATCGATCCTGAAATATCGATACTTCCGATTCTGGATCTTTATGCTCTGAAATCGATTCGGAAATCAAAATATCGATACTTTTGATCCTTGCGCATTCTGAGATGAGGTGTATCCTAAACAGAAACATGGTGAAAAGTATCCAAATTATTGAGATGTTGTCAAAGTGACGCTCGGTTGGTGGGACTACTTCTTCCGCCTGGGTGTGTGCGTCATGCGTAAGCACAGGGGCTCTACTCCGTGCTCTCACTCAGTCACAATTGATGGGAATTTCGGCTCTTTTTTAGAGAACCGGTTCTTTTGGTTCGGCTCACTGAAGAAATCTGACTCTTTCGGGTCCCAAATTGCTCCTCAGATTATTTTTTATTTTCTTTTTCTTTTTCTTTTACAAATAACGTGTTTTCAGAGTTTGAAACATTGTTTTGACATATTTTATATGATTGTGTTCTCAGGTTTTTCTATTGTTGTGTTGACTGTATAGTAAATGAGGCAGCTACCTCAGTACACTCCAGAGTTTAAAATAAATAAATAAAAACCTCTGCCTTGGATTCTTAAAGAAGCTATGATTTGAAATACACATTTTTTTTAATTTAAAAGACAAATGATAAAATATCGATAACGGTATATGCGATACCAGCCCGAATTTTACTCGGTATCGGATCGGAAAGGAAAATGGTGGTATCGAACATCACTACCACAGACAAAGAGCTCGAGACACCAAGGATGTACGCTGAGAAGTGGGCGGAGTGTATGACAG